TCATTTCTCGGACTCAGTTCCTGGTAGGATATTATTTCGAATGAAAATAAACTTATCTAGCTTTGTAGCAGACAAGCCTATGCAAACATGAAGATAGATAGATAGATAGATAGATAGATAGATAGATAGATAGATTGTAACTTTTTGTGATAAATATTTTATAAAGTTTGTGTGGCGATTAAATTATAAACACGAGCCTTTAATCTTCCTTACATAATATTTTATTTACTTCAGTATGTCGCCATTTATTCTCAGCCATTTTGTAATGCTAACCCCGTCATCACACTTCTGTCTGATACGCTGGCTTCACCCTTTCCGACATCAATGTGTCAGAGACACGCCGCCAATGCCTGTGACTGGTGTTTGTAAATCCATCTTTTCATCATTCTCGTGCTCACACTTGTAATACCGGAGACAGGTGTGAGGTCACGTACTTCATTCGGTATCAGGGGCTAATTACATGTAATCTCTCTAATGCTCCTGGCTTTCTTTAATTTTCTAGTGCAAAACTGGAGTGCAGTATTTTATCTTCCATATTAATACAGATAGATAGATAGATAGATAGATTAAAAATAAACTTACAGTAAATGATGGATAGATATTAGAATATGTAAACCAGAATATATTTATGCTTAAGGTTTTAAATGTATTTTTAGATTGAAAATATCCATAAGAAATCTACCACGTTATTGAAATATAATAAATCACTCTACTTAAAAAATGGATTTACTTATTAAAAATAGTTTCTCAAGTGAAAATACATTTCTTTTTTCACCATGAATGCCGCATTGTTACGAAATATGAAATATCCGCATCAAAACAAAGTTATTTCCATTTGATAATACATTTGTAATAAATATTTCCAGAGTTAAAAGGTATGCGTAGAACATGAAGAAGTTAGTCGTGCCAGTAGTAATCGGAGCATTTGGGAGTCATTCCTAGGAGTCATTGCAAGAGTTCAGAGAAAGTGGTAAAATACATCCTATTTCTTTCTTTTCCGTGTAAAAAAATGTATCTTAGTGCGCGATGGGCTTACAACCATGTCGCATTGAAATACCAGTTCCCGTACGGTCAATGTAGTTAAGCTATGTTGAGCCTGGGTACTGTCTCGAGGGGTGACCGGTTGGGATCTGTAATCTTGGATGTACGGATGGTGTAACAGATAATGTTTCGGTTAGTTAAATAGTATATAACGACAGCAGTCTCTAATGCGTTCACTTCCATGATTAATTCCTACATTTTACATAGTTTCGCCGGAAAAAGAAAAAAAAATGATTTATTTTTATAAATGGATTAATATGATAATTAGGTTCTATGTTTTAATCTGCAAGATTTAAAATGAAAGAATTGTGACATTTATAAAGACACAATGCTAGACTCAAAGCGATAAAAGATATTTAGGGACAGTCACGAAGTTCGATGGAAATGGAACTAAAAGCAGGCAATCTAAAGAAGGAGATACATCTCACCATAAAAAATATCGGCATAATATTGTTGTAGCCTCAATAGCCGGGAATATCTCTCAAATCTCCAGTACTTCCATCGTGTCTTGGATGGAGTCTATGTGTAACTCCTGGTAGAGGGAGTCAGAGCAGAATGGCTGGTGGATAGAGTCGGAGAGTAACTGCTTGCAGACGGAGTCGGTGCAGAACGGCTGGTGGATGGAGTCGGTGCGAAATTGCTGGCAGACGGAGTCGGTACAGAACGGCTGGTGAATGGAGTCGGTGCAGAAATGCTGGCAGAAGGAGTCGGTGCCGAAAGGCTGTTGGATGGAATCGGAGCCCAAATGCTGGGAGAGGTAGTCCGTCCGGAACGGCTGGCAGAAGGAGTCGGTGCGGAACGGCTGGTGGATGGAATCGGTGTGGAAATTCTGGTGGATGGAATCGGTGCAGAACTGCTCGTGGATGGAATCGTTGCGGAACTGCTGCTTAAGGTTAAGGGATTGGAGAACATTCTGAGGGAAATTAACAGGAGATAACTGATAACTAACATCCATTAAACATGGAATGTGGAATTAGAACATTCTACACCAGTGAGCGGAAAAAGGTTCGATATTCCAACCAGCTGAAGAAGACAGGAGCGTACAACGGCCGAAACGTTGTTAATAAATATGTCGAGAAAGATGAGGAAAATAGACTCCATCACCAGCAGTTCCCCACCGAATCCATCCACCAGCAGTTCCCCACCGAATCCATCCACCAGCAGTTTCTCACCGAATCCATCCACCAGCCGTTCCGTACCGACTCCATCCACCAACAGTTCCCCACCGAATCCATCCACCAGCAGTTTCCCACCGAATCCATCTACCAGCCGTTCCGTACCGACTCCATCCACCAGCAGTTCTCCACCGAATCCATCCACCAGCAGTTTCTCACCGAATCCATCCACCAGCAGTTTCCCACCGAATCCATCCTCCAGCCGTTCTCCACCGAATCCATCACCAGCAGTTTCCCACCAAATCCATCCACCAACAGTTCCCCACCGAATCCATCACCAGCAGTTTCCCACCGAATCCATCCACCAGCCGTTCCGTACCGACTCCATCCACCAGCAGTTCCCCACCGAATCCATCACCAGCAGTTTCCCACCGTATCCATCCACCAGCCGTTCCGTACCGACTCCATCCACCAGCAGTTCTCCACCGAATCCATCCACCAGCCGTTCCGTACCGACTCCATCCACCAGCAGTTCTCCACCGAATCCATCCACCAGCAGTTTCCCACCGAATCCATCCACCAGCCGTTACGTACCGACTCCATCCACCATCAGTTCCCCACCGAATCCATCCACCAGCAGTTTCCCACCGAATCTATCCACCAGCCGTTCCGTACCGACTCCATCCACCAGCAGTTCTCCATCGAATCCATCCACCAGCAGTTTCCCACCGAATCCATCCACCAGCAGTTCTCCACCGAATCCATCCACCAGCAGTTCTCCACCGAATCCATCCACCAGCAGTTTCCCACCGAATCCATCCACCAGCAGTTCTCCACCGAATCCATCCACCAGCAGTTTCCCACCGAATCCATCCACCAGCCGTTCCCCACCGACTCCATCCACCAACAGTTCCCCATCGAATCCATCACCAGCAGTTTCCCACCGAATCCATCCACCAGCCGTTCCGTACCGACTCCATCCACCAGCAGTTTCCCACCGAATCCATCCACCAGCCGTTCCGTACCGACTCCATCCACCAGCAGTTCTCCACCGAATCCATCCACCAGCAGTTCCCCACCAACTCCCTCCACCAGCCGTTCCGCAACGATATTATCCACCAGGATCAGCGATTCCTTCCCCCAACACTTGCGCATCGACTCCATCCTCTGATGGTTTCCCCTATTCCTCACAAGAAAAGAGAAACATCAGCCAATCAAGACCCGAGGAGGAACAGGAGGGGGAGGAGGAAGTGGTGGAACTTCTAACGAGCAGCCTTCTTGAAGATCGATTCATCTCTCAGAAAGAAGACAAAAGGAAAAGAAATTAAAAATGAAATGACTAAAAGCAAAATGAATAGAAGCCCTACCAAGACTCAGCTTTATGACGAATGTCAGATATCTTCCGAGGATGAAGACTGGTATTGCCTGGTATTACCCGGAATCTTACTCTGCCCGCAAGACAAGTAAAAGATGTGTTCAGTACAATGACTGCAAAGGCTAGGCTCATGATGAGCGCACTGGCATTGACAGTGAAATCTATGTTTATGTTTGCCATAACTGTGACACTGACTGAAGCGAATTTTCTTCGGAAAATTGCATCCTTGTTTTCAAATGATCATTTTATGTTTGTTAAATTTGAATTTGAAGCCTAAATCAGGTTTTAGAGTGATTCCATTGTCCTAATTTTAGTTGTTACAATTTACCCCATCATGTTACATTGTCTCACTGTCTGTTACTCCGTGGGTTAAATGTAGCATTTTACAATTTTCACGTTAAATCCTTAATTGAAATGACATTCAGAATAGCCCATTATAATGTTCGATTAACACTAATGTTCAGGCACAGTTTAAATTACCGTGTCAGGCTTTAATTATATTGTTAGTATGGTAATTTGAAAAAAAGTGTTACATTGTGCCCCGCTTTACCTTACATAGTTCGCAACATTTTAGTTTGGTATGCTATAATATATTTTCGACATGATCTATGAAAATAAATAACATAATCACACTTCAATCTCTAATGGGAGCATGCAAAATTTCCCAATGCTGTTTTTCTTTCCTTTTGGTGGGTGTGGGGCCAACTGATGACTCAATTAATCATATTTCTAGGCAAAAGGTTTTACACTGTAAATGGAAATTTTCCTCAATAACTGAATAATTCCGTTACAAAATAATGAAATATTTTAAAAATATATTTACCTCTGTACTTAAACGAACCTCAAGTATTTTTTATTAAATATATTTATTATGATCTGAATTTCATTCAGTAATCTAAATGATATTAAATGATATAAACGTTATTAAAATATCGAAATACTATTATTAAATTAACTAAACGGTATTATAAAATAGTCTAAACCCTACATTGAATGATCTAAATACTATTAGTAAATAACCTAAATGGTAATAATTTATCTAAATATGATTAAATGTTCTAGATATTATTATTATCTGTCTATATCTCTGAGATAAGGTATGATGATTACTTGCACTATTTACATTATGCGGAGTGTTATCCTCATGTGTGTTGTCATATTCCCATCGTTTCTGTCATTGTACGCTCCGGCCTTCTTCTAAGGAGGGAAAAGGAAGATCACCTGTGAGATGGGGTTGAAATAATAGACAGAGAGCATCACTGGCAAATAGGAAGACTTATGGAATCAGCACATATTACAGGCCACAAAAATCTCCTGAGCCGACCAATCGTAGAAATGAATACAGTATGGGAACCAGTAATAAAGAGTGCTAGAGAAAAGCAATGAATAAGAACAAAATTGCAATATAAGCTCTGGTAAAAAAAAACGCAGTGATAATAACATAAAAAATTGCAATATGAGCGCTGGTAAAAATGGTTGGTGAGACATTAGTTTTATAAGTCCCAAAAATTCATACACAGTTGTTCTCAAGAACACATGGCCGAGTGGATAAAGACGTTGGTAAGCTTCAGTGTGAGTTCAATACCATGCCACAGAGAACTAGAACAATATAACCCGGTGGACACAATAAAATATTCGAGTCGAAATTACAATCATCTGAAGAAGGCTGAAGCGTACGACGGCCGAAACGTTGTAAATATTGCAATGTAAATAATGCAAGTAATTTTATTATTAGATGATTTGTTAAATAATTTTCTAAACATTTGTATTAAATGGTATAATTTTTACTAGGAATTATGTAAATCTTACTATTATATTATGTAAATATTGTTTCATGATCCAAATGTTTAAGATCGTAACATGAAAGAGATAGACATGTCAGTTTTGATCAGAGATTTGGGAATGGCCACAAACTAGCTTTGCAATTATCTGGTTCGTCCTGATATGCTTTACCTTTACAAGAGCTAGATCAGGCCAAAAATGGCCTATTGCTGCTATATTGTCTGGAGCCGACAGTCTTCCTTTTACAGTCTTGATAATCTGTAAAATCGTTTAAAAGGCTGATGAATTGTTTTCCGCCATAGAACCACTTTCCCTCAATCGAAACGTTAACAGGCTTTCGCAATTCAACCGCTATTTCCATGGTAAATGTTCAGACGAACTCCATTCCTTTGTCGCCCAACCTCTAACCCTCCCAGATAAGGCCACTACACCACGTATATTAAAGCAATCGATGCTCATTCGTCTCGTATTTCTTTGATAAAGAGTAAGTACCAATCGGATAGCTTCTTCCCAAGAACTGTTGCCTTATATAGCAAAATCCCCGGATGATAGTCTCCTGTGATATAAGATATCTCTTGAAATCCAGAGTTAACTATTTTTTTTTCACATATATCCATGTAAATTTCGCCTCTTAATCTTACCGCTTACACAATGAACCCCTTCAGTAAGCGTATAAATTAAGTGGTTCTTGGGGTTTTTACAAGAGTAACATTAGTAAAAATAAAAAAAATAGATAAGAAGTTTGTTGGAACTGACAATCAAGGTAAAGAGTCAATCTAATGCAGAATACAGTATTACTAAAATATCTCAGCAAAGATTGTTGTCACTTTACCCCCAGAATATACCACAAGTTTCTATTGATGTGTACTAACTTTTTACAGTTTCTTGCACAATTTTAATATATATTTTTTGTGTAGGAAAAGATATGAATTTAACTTTAATGTTGGGCTCGTTAAGCAATAACAAGATTAATTCGCCTTGGATAATTTGTCTGAAAGAGAACTAATGCATCTCTTGATAGGTTTAAATCGTATTTGGATAATAATTATCACGTGGACACAGATAATTGTAATTTTTATGACCATTTAGAGGGCCGTATGATGAAATGGGAAAACGTTATCGTCAGCCTCCAGCGACTACTTGTTGGCAAATATCAACGAAAATGCCATATATATATATATATATATATATATATATATATATATATATATATATATATATATATATATATATATATATATATATATATATATATATATATATATATATATATATATATATATGCGTGTGTGTGTCCAAATAAAAAAGAAAGAACAGTCTGATTAAAAATCCACAATTCTTTAACATTAATTTTTTAAAAGTGCTCGATACAAATGTTATGGGGACCTACCTTCATGGACAAAATAGACTCATCTTATGACTATATTATGCCTCGCAAGAGGACTTAGACAAAAGACGAGTTGACTACTGTGCTTAGCCGTCAGATGAACGTACAACACTTCTGTATTCGTTCTTTTTGTTAATAATACGTTTTCACTGAATTGCTGAGTTCAAGTTTTCTTTCGGACCTTTTCCGGGTCCACAACAACAAAGTAGAGCTTTAATATTATAATATTATTATTTAAAATATTTTAAAAGAT